GGTCCTGCCCCTCTGCAGGGAAGGAAGGCAAGCATCCCCAGCGCCAGGGCAGCAATGACAGCTGGTGGGGGGGAGATGCCCCCCTGCCTCCGCGCCATGCCAGGCTCCCAAACCCCCTAGGGGAAAGAGGTGCATGCCAGGCACCCGGGCAGGGGCTCTGCCTTACCCAGGATGTGATCCGCAGCAGGGTCTGCGGCTGCTTGAGGAAATCCAGGGGGTCGAAGGCCCCCCCAGCCCGGCCGGCTCCGAAGGAGGCTCCTTCCATCTTCGCTGCTGCTGCGCTGCGCCTAGCAGCGGCTCCGGTGCGGCTCGAGCCCGCATCTCCCCCGCCCACCCCCGCCTCGCTGCAGCGTGGGCTCGCCCACTGGCCCGCGGCGCCGGGCGGTGGGAGGAACCATCCCGGGAGGGGGGGGAGGAGGGACCTGCAGGTGCATCGCTGCCTGCCCGGGGCTTCACTTCCCAAGCCCACCTGTCCTTCCCCGCGCGCCTCCAAGGGGGGTTTGCTGCACGCTTGCCAGCCCCCATTGCAGCACCCATGCACGCCCTGTGCATGGCAGTGCAGGGCCAAGGGGGCTGCGGGGGGGGCTCAGCCCGGACAGCTACCCATGCAACCCTTGTGCATGGCGGTGCAGGGCCAAGGGTGGCTACAGAGGGGCTCTGCCCTGCCCCAGGGGCTCAGCTCTGGAGAGCTACCCATAGGCCATCCATGCCACCCCGTGCATGGGGGTGCAGGGACAAAGGGGGTGCAGGTGGGCTCTGCCCTGACCCAGGGGCTCAGCCCCGAGAGCCACCCACAGGCCACCCATGCAACCTCTGTGCATGGGGTGCAGGGCCAAGGGTGGCTGCAGGAGAGCTCAGCCCTGGAGAGCTACTCATAGGCCACCCATGCACCCCTTGTGCATGGGGGTGCAGGGCCAAAGGGGCTGCAGGAGGGCTCTGCCCTGCCTCAGGGGCTCATCCCCAAGAGCCACCCATAGGCCATCCATGCATCCCTTGTGCATGCATGTGCAGGGCCAAGGGTGGCTCAGCTCTGCCCCGGGGGGCTCAGCCCTGATAGCCACCCACAGGCTACCCATGCAATCTCTGTGCATGGGGGTGCAAGGCCAAGGGTGGTTGCAGGAGGGCTCAGCCCTGGAGAGCCACTCATGCACCCCTTGTGTATGGGGGTCAAGGGCCAAAAGGGCTGCAGGAGGGCTCTGCCCTGCCCCGGGGGGCTCAGCACCCATAGGCACCCTGCTGCCCTGAGCCACGCAGGCTTCTGGGGGGCCGGGGAGAGAAGATGGAAATCATAGAAAAACAGAAAAATGAGGGCTGGTAGGGACCTCAGGAGGTCTAGTCCATCCCCCTGCTCCAAGCAGGACCAGCCCCAACTACATCATCCCAGCCAAGGCATGATGGGTGGATGATGGGCTCCTCCATCACTGATGATGGGTGGAGGGGTTCCCCATCCTCTGCCCAAAGGGCAACAGGCCCTGAGCCAAGAGCCTGGGACCTCCCCCAAAATCTCAGGCAGCGGAGGCCGAGCAGAAGGTGGCCTTGATGCCGTGGTGTGGATGGGGCTGGCTCATAGCTAGGAGGGAGGGAGCGGGCTGGCTGGGCCAGCCTGGAGGGAAAGGTTTTGCTGCCTCCAGCCTTGCAGCCACCTGCTCTTCGGCCTGAAGAGTAAGAGGGGCAGGTCGGCTGGGCTGAAGCTCGTGTTTTCCACCTGCAGGAAAAGCCAAGCCATCTTGCTCCACCCAGATGGTCTGTTGGGGCCGGAGGGATCTGCTGCTTCTTGCCCCTGGCTCTTATGCCGGCTGGTGAAGGAATGAGGAAAATGATGGGAGCCCCACGGAGGGAAACCCCACCTGGTTTCCAAGGGAGTTTCCCCCCCACCGACTGCAGGATCATGTCCTTATTTAGTTTTCCTAACGCGATGATGATGGTTTTGGTTTCATAGATACCGATACCATGACAACTTTGACATCATTGCTCTGCTCAGGACAGGAACAGGCAGGAAAAGTAACCGTGAGGCCTGAACAGACAGGTGGTCGGAGCCTGGTTCTGTTCCTGGCTCTGCCACTGACTCCCCTTCTGACCTGGGGAAAACCATCTTCCTTCTCTGTGGCTGTTTCCCCACCTGTGACAGGGGGATAATGCTACCGGCCTGCCTCGCCTTGGGGGTGGTGTGTGCAACAAGCTTGGAGAGTCCTGCCGTGCAGGATGCTATGGTCCTAGCACTACCCTCTGTGCTTCCCCCTCCCAACCAGCCCAGCCCTCGGGGTTAAATCTGCATCCTTGTCTCTGACAAGTGCGGTCAGGAGATTTAATGGCCAAGGCTCGTTAGGATGCCATTCAGTTTTTCTCAATTCCAGGTGAATCATCGTTTCTCTAGATCTATTTCTGACTCCCAGCAGGAAGAGCAGGATTCAGCCTTTCATCCCTCAATGTCACCAGCTCAGTAGAAATCACATTTTACTATGAAAAAAATAAAAGGCTATTAAGGGAATACCAGGCTACCCCTAGTGCCTTCGCTACTGCAGGCTGTCTCACTGGGCTGCGATGGGATGCTCCTCAGGGGACGTCGACAGCCAGGGATTGCCACCCCATGTGAACTGCAGTCTGGGAGAGTGTGATCTAAGTGACTTAGGAGCCCAAATACCTTTGGCTTTCAGCAAGACGTGTTCTCCAAATCACTTTGCTGCTTCTGAACATCCCATCTCAGCACAATAAAGCAGAGGTGTGCACAGTCCTAGGGGCAGATCCAGCTCAGGGACATCTGCTGTGTGTTCAGGTGCCTTTTGCTTTTTAGTCACTGGCTAGCTAGCCCTAAGTGTCCTCAACTCCCACAGTCAAAGTCCTTGGGGAGAAAAATTGGTGCATTTCTGAGCAGTTGCAGTCGAGATCTGCCTAAAATGCACCATTGAAAAGCTAGAGTCTGTTTCTCCCTGTCTAACCACCCAACTCCCACATGCTGGTACTGCTTTTTTAAATAAATCCTTGTATTGTTTGATGTGTGAAACCAACATGCACAAAACACCCCCCTGCATACACATGTGCACTCGCAGCTGAAGAGGAAGACACAGAGCTCAACACTAATTTCTAATCGACAAACGAGAAGTAGTAACAGACCAGAACATTTAATCAGTGTCCACTGAATTACTGAGCCCACAAACACTCAGCGTGAAAACCACCTGAGGGGTTCAGAAATGCATGTGGTACAGGGCACACTGGTGCCTCGGTAGTGGACAGGCAGCAAGGTTTGTGGCAGAAGTGGCTGATAACAAGCAGGCACCTGGCAAGCTGCATCGTGCACCCAGCTAGTTATAAAGAACATCCATTTACACCCGCGGGGCACCATCACACTAACTTTGTGCCATGAACAAACAAGCAAGTTCACAATCAAAAAGCACACCCGACAGCTATATACATCAGCATTCGGAAAGGGAAAGGAACAGCTGTAGGCAACGGTCGATCCTCTGGATCGTGGTGTGCATGTAAGAGGTCTAGTCAGGTGCCTCATGCATCCGGTTGTGGCTGACGAGGCCAATTTGAGAGTGACACAGCTTGTTACAAGTTTCACAGATCCATGTGTTGTCTGAGTTGGAGTCCAAGTTTACAGCAGGCTGCTTTCTTCTTTCTCGCTTGGCTTCGATCCTCTGGATCAAAGCCACTCCAATTTGAGCTGCACCCAGTGCCAGATGTTCCCTCTGGATCACACGGGATTCTGCACGCTCCTCCCAGCTTTCTACACTGATGTTGAATGACTTCATATCACTTTTGCATACATCATGGTACTGCCATAGAGGGAGACCCTGCTTTCTAGAGCCGTCTTGAATCTCGCTGTACAAAATATTCTTGGGGATGCGGTCTCCTCCCATTCTCCCGACATAGCTGATCCATCACAGTGGTTTCTGAGTGTGTCAGTTCCGCGTGCTCCAGCACCTCTGTGTTTGGTATTCTGTCTTCCCACTTCATTTTCAGGATCTTACGCAGACATCTCATGTGGACGCTGTTCAGTCTCTTGATGTGCCTAGCATATTTAGTCCATGTTTCTCAACCATAAAACAGGGATGACAGCACACAAATCTCATAGATGCGCATCTTCACCTTACCTGATGGGTTGCTTTTATTCCATGCACGTTTCTGCAACAGCCCAAAATTCTTAGCTGCTTTTCCAATTCTGATAGTTCGGTCTGAAAGTCAAGATTCCTGATGATTGTGGAACATAAGTAGCAAAAAACACTGACGACACCAGGAGATTTATCTTCCAGAGTGATGTTGTTGATGTCAAAAGTGTTTAATTCTTTGTTTAAACTACAGCTGCCTTTATTCGCTTGATATAATAAGTGAATGATGCTCAGTAGCTCAGGGGACAACATAGTTTCTTCAGAACAGTTTCTTCCGTTGACTGTATGAAAGGCTTTTGTCAGATCGATGAGGGCTATGCACAGTGGTATTCATTTTTCTCTTCACTTCTCTTGCAGTTGCTTGACCAAAAATATATCAGTGGTGGAGTGTCCTGAGCAAAAACTGCGTTCACTTTCAGGATAGATTCTTTCACCTCGAGACTAGTTAGAACTTCAGCAAACAAGTAGAAATCTTAAAATATTATGCACGTGAATCCCTGATGGTACAGGCCCAGCTTCCCAGTCCAACTGCAAAGTGAAATTGTAACCTTCTCCCAACTCAGCATGGCCTGAAGAGGGTCACACATGGATCACATCATCTTTTAAAAAATAGTGGAGGATATTTGGTTGATTTCCATCGGTGATGCGATATGTTAATACAGGTGCTTATGGGTGGTGGTGTCAAATCACATACCCCCTCATGTTACACCGTCTGCTATGATGAAGTAAAGATGAATGCATTTAGTTAAGCACAGGTTAGAAAATATTTATGCAAATGGTGACTAGAGCTGTACTTATACGTAGTACTGCATTGTTCATTTTAAATGTCAGAGGGCAGTTTTGGAGGAGTATGCTTGAAGGCAAGTCCCAGGCAAGTTTGCAGTTTCTGCCAGCTGTTGGGACTTTGTGCTGGGAGGGAAATGCTTTGTTAGAGATCTCTGCTTGGAGGGTGTTTCTTATAACAACTCCTATTAGCGCTAGGTTAGCAGGTTGGCACTGTTTGTTTCTGAATGCACCATTACGTTCTGCTGCCATCAGGGATGTGGTACAAATGGTCAGGATGGTGAAGGATTGATACTGGAGCTGCACTCAGCATGACTCAAGAAATTTCCCCAAATGACGCCAAGCTCTGCTGGTTCCTTTTGCATTTTTTACATTAATCTTTCAAAGGTTGCACCTTCCCCTTGGAGGTCCTTAG